AGCGTCTTCAAGCACCAAGTTTCATGTATGGGCACATCTAGTTATTGTTTACCTAACTTACAAGCCCATAAGACATTTTATTCAGAGATGGGGGCCTATTAGGGCAAACAAGAGGATAAAGCATTCAAACTGTTTATCAATACTTGTTTCCACAGTTTCAAACAGGATTTGCTGATGTTAAGCTCTGAGATGAGGTGTTCTGTATTGCTGTTTTCAGAAAGTCCTCAGTCATAGAAAAGAGGTGTACAACTCCTAATTCCAAGGGATTTGTCCTCTCTTTCAAGCAGCCAACTTTATTTTAACAACAGCTATGACTATTTCATCTAAGACCTAAAGTATAATGGGTCTTATGGTCTTAGAATATTGTATTCATAGGTCTGGTATGATATAGACACCTTTTCTTTGCAAGCCAATAGAAGGAAGGTGGAAGAAAAGTAATACTCATTGAATAAATTTCTGAGCTGAAGATAAAAATTTGAAAGTTATCCAAATACAGAAAGAAATGAAGTCAAGAGCATAGTTAGGATAACCTTGGAAGAGACAGCAAAAACAAAAAAAGAGGGTAAGAAACATTGTTGTGATGAACACTGATGTTGATGGTCAAAAAAGGGACCATGAACTTGAAAAGGAAGAGAAATCAGAGACACAGGAAGAAATAGGGAGCAACATTCTACAAGGCCAAGGAGAGAGAGAGTTAGGAAGAAGGAGTGATCATGGGTGCCACGTGTTGCCGAGAAGTCAAGAACCAGTCCAAAAAATACCCTACGGATTTGGCAAAGCATAGGTCACTGGTGACCTTACCTTCAAATGTTTCAGGGGGTTGATGATGACAGAATTTAATTAGAGTTGGAGAATAAGGAGAAGAAAGTGAGGAAATAGAGATCAAGAGTATAGGCAATTTTGTGGAGAAACTTAGCTCTAAGAGGAGAAGTACGGGAAATAGGAGGAATGGCATACGCTGTTATGTGAGAAGTTCTAATTCCAAGACTAAATTCTATAAATTGCTGCTTCCAGACATGCTGTTGACTCTGGGTTTGTGTGCTAGCTCATGAATTCTTCCTTCTTTTCTATTTGCAACAAAAACTACGGAAATGAACGAGTTTCATTGATAGAAGAAAGTTCCATAAGCAATTTGTGCTTCATTGCAAAATTTAAGTATCCTTAAGCTTGTGTTGAGCATCAACATACTGACATTCCCATGATCTGCTGCCATCCTTACAACACCTGCAAAGAGTTAAGCAAGGAAGTATCACATTGATTTTATAAGGGCAGAAATTGAATCATTGAGGCATTCGGGGCATAACTGGTACAAGAACCGAGATCTCTAATTTCCAGTCCAGTTTTTGTTGTTTCTCCCCACTGTCCCTAAGAAGGTGGGCAGATTTGAAGAGTGACATCTGCTGCTTAACTCTGGAGTGACCACCACTGAATTTCCTCCTTTTACCTTATCATTACCAGTAGCAAAAGAAGTAGTTGTCACCAGCATTGTTGTAATTCAGTTTACACAGACTTGTCAAATACACTACCTCACTAAACTCAAACTAACTTCCCAGAGGTATCTCAGGCTGATATTTTCCAATACCTTCCAAAAATGATACACATTGGGGCTTGAGTTCAGATCTCTGAACTCTAAATCTAGTGCTCTTTTTTTTGGATTAATGGTGTATGACTGTTGGATTATTTCAAGAATTTAATGAACGTTATGACCTCTTTTCACAAAAGCCCATGCAGAAGTATGTAATCAATATAACCTGGTGCACAATTTCAAGAGGTTCACTGATGGTTTGATGTTAGGGATCCCTGCTCTACGTTATGCTATCTCCAAGCCAACTAAAGTGCCAGCTGGCTACATGGTAAAAGCCCTCTCAGTGGTCAAGGCATTGTTACTAGATACTCTTGGAATGGAAAGCTTGTGGTACTTTTCTTAGACATATGTCTGGACTAGTCCCCCTTTGTATACCCTGAGAGTATAATGTCTATATTTTAGTGCAGCACATACGGTATTATGCTCTGTGGAGGTATGCCTCCCCTATTGGGATGTAAGCTCCTTGGTGGAATGGAAATATCTAATATAAGTAACTACACCACAGTGATCGTTTCTATTGCTAACACTGTAATTTCCTGAATACCTGTTATAGCTTGACACTTAATTATCACTATGTGCCTACCACTATTGTAACTCATTTAATTTTCTGATCATATAAGGTGTTTACTATTGTTGTTTCCCTTTACAGTGAGGTATGAAGGCACAAAAAGTTAAGAAAATTGCCTAGGGCCACACAGCTAGTCACACGTGCAGCTGAGACCCAGGAAATTTGTCTCCAAGGTCTGTGATATCAATTGCCAAGTTAGAAACTTGACCTCACAGGACTGATGGAGTGGCTCAAGTGGTAGATTGCCTGCCTAGAAATTTGCCCTCTTGTCATGTACTACCTATATGAGGTTGCTCTGTTTCTGTTATAAAACATCTTACTTTTCTTTAAAAAAAATCCAACAGCTAGGCATAATTATTATGACATTCATTTACTATTTTTCAGTCTTTTTAGATTTATGAAAAAATTGTAAAAATAGTAGAGTTCTCTCTTACTCATCATCTAAGAAATTAATACAAATACTGTCAACTAACTTTAACATTTGAATTTTGACAGTTTCTCCCAAAAAATGTCCTTTATCTGGTCCAGGAGCTAATCGATCATATGTTGTTTTTAGTTGTAGCATCTCTTTAGTTTCTTTCAATCTGGGATAGCTCTTCAGTGTTTTAAGTTTCATAATCTTTTAGGTATATTGGAAAACAATTTTGTAGATTGTCCTTCAATTCGGGTTTGTCTCACATCTCAAGTTTATATTAAGATTATGTATTTTGAACAAGAACATCATAGAAATGATGCTGTGTCCTCAGTGCATCATAAAAATAGGTACATGATATCAATATATCTTGTTGCTGTTGTTATTAACTATGACCACTGGCTGAAGGAGTCTGCCAGATTTCTCCACTGTAAAAGTGACTAGTTTTTCTTTCATAATAAGTATCTTGTGGTGAGGTCCTTTGGGATTATGCATATATCTTGCTTCCCACCATAATTTTACCAACCAATTTTTATAGTTATGGATGATTCTTCCCTGCAACAACTATGATGTTAACCTAATAATAAGTTTCTATTTCCATTATTTTTCTACATTTATCAATTGTAATTCTACTGTCCTCACACAGTGAACAGGAAGACCTGCCATTTCTTCCCTGTTTATATATCTCTTTAGTTATTTACTTATATAAGTTTGGATTTGTGGAGTTACTAGATAATATTATTTATACTGTTGATCAAATTGTCCCCTATTAGGTTACTGAGGTTCTTAAAGCTGACTCCTGTGTACTTTGACAATTCCTTTTTTTTTTTTTAAAGAATTTCCTTACTTTTGGGCACCCCAAAATGTTCATGTATTTCCTCAGTCCCAAACAGGGAATCAATCATCTTTCTAAAGTGTTCTGATTACTTTATTGAGTAACCAGGAGAAAGATATTTAATCCAAATCATGGGTGCTGGGTGTGCAAATTGATACTATGTTGTCATTGCTTCTCGGCTACCTCAGCTTATAGAGGTAATGTAATAAAGTAAGTACTTACCTATGAATAGACATAGTCATATGTATTTCTTTCTTGGTATGGTACTAGAGCTTGAACTCAGGGCCTTCACCTTGAGCCACTCCACCATCCCTTCTGGTGATGGGTATTTTTGAGACAGGATCTTGCGAACTATTTGCCCACATTGGCTTCAAACCATAGTCCTCCTGATCTCTGTCTCCTGAGTAGCTAGGATTATAGGAGTGAGCCACCAGCACCTGGCTGTATTTCTATTTCTATCTATATTTCTATCTATAGATATATATATTTATATAGATATCTATCTATAGGTTGATACTGATACTTCTGATTTCCATTTAGTACCATAGAGTTCATTCTAACCTTTCTCTTTCACTATTTGTGAGAAATCTAGCTCTCATTAGCCACCATGTACTTATTTGTTCAAATATAATATATAGTAAAGAATGGCTAACCCATGCTCTATGACAAACAAATTTAATAATAGAAGTACAATATTTATGCCCAAGATATTTCTCTTTTTAGCTACTCAGGATATTGTCAAAATATTCCTTCCCAAAGTTACTTAGGTTGGTTCTCTTCCCAATCCCTTTTAGTGTGGTTATACTATTCATTTATAATACACTAGGTTCATTTTTTCATATTAACATTTCTTTCTGCTCACCCTACCATAGACACACATCCTGGTTCCTTCCTCTCTCCCTTCCTTCTTGCTTTCTTACTTCCTTCCTTCCCTCCCATCTTCTAATCATTTTAGAACCACGGTTCTAAGAGGTAGTTATAGAAGAAAGAATGCTTAGAAGTTTTGCTCTGCCTATCAATCCTGCCCTCATTCCTACATTCTTTTCATTCCATTCCTACCTGTCCTCTATAGGTTACCAATCTCATTAGTTTCTGAGTTCATTTTCCTATATTTTTATTGCACAAATGAATAGATTACACACATACTTTCTTACCTTCTTTTTACATGCAAGGCAGCATGTTATAAACTTTCCTTTGTACTCAGCTTTACTTAATATATCTTGGAAACCACTACATTTAAGTTGGTATTCTTAGTTTTACAGATGATGAAATAGACTTGAAGAGGTCGAATAATGTGTGTAAGGTTACACACCTCATAAGGAGTAAAGCTAGAGTGTAAGCCCAAGAACTTTTGACTCCAAATTCCATGCACCTTTGTTTATGTCAGAGTTTCTCATCCATATTCTATGGGCATATTCTTGAGGGAGTCTCTAGGTTGTCTTAGATCATTTTAAAAATTGATATATCTAGATGATTATCTTAAGTACTGTCAGGCATTTTCATTGTTCATGGGATCTGAAAATCATGCAATTGCCCAAAGTGAATGCCACCCATGCAGTTGAGACAGAAAGGATGTATGGGAACAGATAGTGCAGCTTACCTAGCTGTGGCCTTGGCTTGTAGTTCAGGGAAGGCAGCATGGCCCTGTACCATGTGGTCAATCTAAAAAAAAAAAGAAAGAAAGATGGTCAAGTTCATAGCTTCTCTAATTGATCATTAAGCCAGAAAAATAGGTATAAAAAGGTTTATTTCTTTTAACTCTTTGTTTGAGATTCCAGGGACATTAAAATGCTAACTGGGCAAGAGTGTCTCAGTTATTTCAGAAATCAAGCTTTGCTTAACCTAGTGCCAGCTTCTTGGGATTTAATAACAGAAACAAGTTTAGAGAGAGGAGTAACAGAAAGTGAAACTCCCAAGGCTGAGCATGTGGCAGTAGGTAGCATCGGGTCCTAAAATGAGGAATGAGGAAATCAGGATAGCTTGAGTTGAATGGTAAGGGGGTTTGACTGTAAAAAACACTAATGTCTCTGGTTCACATCATTTCCCCCTCCTAATGCAGGCTGTCACCCCCAGGGCAGTGTCAAACCTTGAAATACTCGCTGTGTCTTACTAATAGACAATCTCTGACAGAGGGAAGAGCCAGAATATGAAGACAGATTCTCAGCTTAAAAAACAGAACAAAATTGAGGTGCCCCAGAGCTGCCAAGAGCTCCTCTGACTGAAAAGTTGTCACAAGGGAAGCCAGGATAGCTCTCTAAGGATAGAGATATGTGAACTCTGCTGATAACCATCTTCTCATCTGAAATCTCATGTCTAGGATTTAATTCCTAATCCCCTTGGTGGCTTTAAACCAAACAGTATGCAATATTCATGAGAACTAAAATGTTTCCCTACGCTTCACTCTGCTTGCTAAGACACAGCCAACACAGTGCTGGAGTCCCTGAGCTAATTTGTATACTGATAAATGTTTACTTGAATCTCCAGGACTCTAAAACAACCATTCTGAGGCATTTACTTTCATTCTAACTAAAACAGACTGACTGCTTTGGCCTCATGGAGATCCACTGAGTGTGTTTCCTGAGAGCCAGGGCTGTGTACAGAGGAACAAAATTTGTTCCATACCCACAGAGGCCAGGCTTGGGCTTTGGTTCTGTTTCTCACTAGCTCTGTAAATTTGAGCAAGTCACTAAAACACTCTCAAACAGCTTCATTTTAAAAACATTTTTATTATAATATATAATTTTAATATATAATTAGTTGTAGAAAGAGGTTTCATTATGATATTTCCATACATGCGTACAATGTATTCTGATCAATTTCACCCTCCTCTATATTACTCTTTTTTCTCATCCCTCCTATCCCCTTTTAGAAATAATTTTAACAGGTTCCATTATTCTATTTTCTTACATGTGTATAAAATACTTCAACCATAATTCATCCCTTCTTTCCCCTCTCCTTTTTCCCTATTCCCTCTTGCTGGTCCCCCTCTCCCCCCCAAAAAACTATTTTTTCCTGTCATTCATTTTTAAGGTAGGTTTTTGGCGGTACTGGGGTTTGAACTCAGGGTTTCATGCTTGCTAGGCAGGTGCTCTACCACTTGAGCCTTCCTGGGCACCCGGCTCAGCCTCCTTTCAAAACGGTATTGCTAGGAAGAAAAGTGAGTCTCCAATAATGTCAACAGTAGCATAAATAAAATTATCTATATTAACAGACTCATTTACCTTACATGGACACTGAGCTCGGTATTTTACACACATTGTTTCGTTTCTTACTTACAGAATTTCTATGAAGAACATACTATTCACTATGGAATGAGAAACTTGGGACTAAAAGATTTAGATAAAGTAACTTGCCCAAGGTCACAGGGAGTGAGTGAAAGATCTAGGTTTCAAACTGGTGACTCTCTATATCTAAAGAGAGACACTATGCTATAATTTTTATTAAAATTAACTACTAAGCTATAATTTTTACTAAACTTCCAGGTATAAGTTGCTGAATCCCATTGGGGTGGTTTTGTGGCAATGTTTTAAAATAATACCAAAACCATTGGTCATTTTAATGAAGAAAAAAACATTCAGGTTTTGAACATGTACTTCCTGTAGGGTCAACTTTGGGTTACTTTGATTGAGGCATATTATGGACCAAAAATCAAAGAACTTGCAATCCAGTGAGAGCACTGGAATGAACTAACTGGAATTGTTAATGGATAATTGAAGGTATTGCTTTTGATGCTAATATTTATGGGAGGTGATTTAGAAGTTCAGATACAGAACATTTCAATGAGCTTCCAGGAGGACATGTGTGGTGCCTGTGTGTATGCAGCTATTTAGTACTAACTGAATACCTAATGTGCTAGGTACTGTGCCTAAGTTCTGGGGACACAGTGAAAAGTAAGAAAAACATATAGTATATGTTTTGTATACTTTTTATACTTTATAGTCATATAAAGTAAGGGATCACTCTTGGCAATTAATATAGAAATACAAAGATGGAAAGACATATACGGTTGTGAACAGTAAGGGGACTAGGCTAGCCCCATGCCTATCATATCATAGGTACCCAATAAATATTTGTGGAATGAATGTGAGATGAATGAGCCATAATGGAGGCACAGCATATATTCACATAGCACCATATGTTTTTTCTTGGTGGTACTTACCATACTTTCCATTTGTATCTATTTGTTCTGGGCACACATTGGCCACAGGGTAAGTATAAGTTAAACTAGAGAATAATGTGGCAAAAATATGGAGGAATGAGGAGGATGAAGACAGACAATGAGTGCTGAAAGTCAGTTAAGTGTTTATACTTTCACTGGTTTGGAAGCAACAGGAAATTATTTTGATTTGGAGAGCAAAATGCTAAAAAGTTAAGGAAAATTATCCTAGCAGGGCATGCAGGACAGGGAGATGACAAGATAATCTCAAGCAGAAAATATAGGCAAGGATCAGAGGATGACAGTGAGAGTATAAGGCACTAATACTCCCTGTCCTTGATATATTACAGCATTTGTCAACTACTTCTACAATCACTAGGTTATATGTCTGTCTCTTACCTTATACTCTAGGCTCTTTTAAAGGAGGGGCCTCATTATTTCTACTATCTACTATCTAGACAACGCCTAGAATCTTGAAAGAATGAATGAATGAATAAGACACACTTATGAGAAAAATGTAGCAAGTTTAGTGACTGACCAGTTATACAGTCTAAGTGAATTATAGCTGGTGACTTTAAAATTTGGGTCTAAAAATAAAAAATGTGGTTGTATTAATCTTGCATTTTCATTTTCTATATTATGGATGCTTTGACATCTGTGGCCTTGGTGACCTTGGAGAGAGTGCCACAGGGCTAGCAATTCATAGAGATGGTGAACAAGTTGTCTGGGAGCATGCCTTATTTCATATGCAGACCAAACCAGAGCCCACCTCCTTCTTCTGTTGGGCTCTCACACTTTGGGTACTTTTTCCTGTTCTATTCACCCAGAACAAGAGACCAAACACTGAGGCACAACCCCTTCAACACCAGAGTCTATTGATATTATTCAAGGGAACCAGTATCAAGCATTCTTACTTTATGCTGCCCATTCCTTCCTGTGAAAACTAGAATAAAGGCTCTCACTCATGTTTTCTCCCTACTCTTCCATCTCTTAAGTGAACTTGGTGCCTCCTCATGTAGTCATATGTGTGTGGGGTGCCAGCTCCTATATGACACTATACCAGACTTGTTTTTTAATGGCAATTGTCTTATGTCTATTAGCCTCACCATTTTTAATAGGAAAGCCTACATTTTTAAATATGGTAAAAGCTTTGTAAATAGAGGCTTGGGTTCAAATTTGTGGCAATACTTACCTTCTCTGAAACCTTGGAGAAGTTATTGAACTTCTCAGAGTCTCGTTACCTACAACTGCAAAATGAGGATAATAAAATTTGCTCTGTAGAGAAGGTTGTGGTTACACCTGTTATACAGGTGGTTTTCAGTTCATAACCCTATTATGACAAGGAAGGGGATACTACCAAAAGAATAAAAATGGTTGGGAGATTAAGGTCCCAAATGGTCATCAGTTCTTTTGGTTTCCCACAGCATCTGGAGGTGAAGACCTCCCCTAATCACTAAGCACTCATTTCAAAAGCCTGGAAGCCTCTTCTGAGAGTTGACCTTCGCACTCATTAACACATTTAGTATAGTAGAAAAGAACACAGTGCCCCTTTTGTGGTTATTTCCTAGTGCAATAGCCAGATTCTCAACAATGCCTGTCTTTGCCAAGTGGTTGCCTCAGAAATATACAGAGTTCTTCTAACCCTATGTTCTTGTTTCAGCCATCTTCTCTGAGGTCAGCTCTGAGAGCAGCAGCTGAAGTATGGGCAGGAAGGATACTCTACTATAGTAAAGAAGCTTGAGATGGGTATAGCCAGTTCTTTTTCAGCCTAGATCAAGCCTGAAATTACCTTATGTTAGGCACAGTGATTTAAGCCTCTAATCCCAGCTCCTCGGAAGGCAGAGATTGGTAGGATCGTGGTTCAGGGAAAAGCGTGGGCAATAAGTTTGTGAGACAATACCAATAAAAAGCTGGGTATGGTGGCATGTGCTTGTCATCCCAGTTACACAGGATGTGTTAATAGGAGGATTGTGTTCCAGGCCAGCCCAGGCATAAGTGTGAGAGCCTATTTGAAAAATACCTAAAGCGGGCTGGTGGAATGGCTCAAGTGGTAAGAGCAAGTGTGAGGCCTTGAGTTCAAACCCTAATACCTCCAAAAATAACCTCCCCGCAAAAAAACCAACCTTCCCGATCCATGTCATAATAAATACTTGGGTTTATAGGCCCTATTTTATAAAGGTAGCATTTGTGTCTAGACTATGTGAAAAACAGCAATGCAGTACAGTAGAAAGCAGAGGTCATAACTGGATGGTACCTGGCCTGCAGATGTATCTTGTTTGGCATATATGTATTAAACACTGGGCCAGTATTTAAACTGGGAGATTTCTCTTAAGGTTCAGATTCTTGTTTCTCTTGGAGAATTAAAGAGAGTATTAACACTGGGCCACCCACATTTTGCCTCTTGGAAAGAATTGGCTGGATCAGTGTGATGATGGACTCCTTTACACAGGCCTTCCCGCTTCAGTTGTGAAAGATCTCAGCACTCTCTGTCATTTCTCAGAAACCA